AAGGAAGTACTTTTTTAGGGAAGAAAACAAATCTTATAAGTGGAGAAATTTGGTAGATAATGTAGAAGGCCTTTTTAAATTGGGTGAGAAAATATAGGAAACTGTTGTAAAAGCCATGGTGCACAGGACAGGTTCACTGGTAGATTCCTTTCAGAAACCACAAAACACTGAAGTCATTGAACAAACCAACACAAAATTGATAAATGTATCTGCATAAAAGTTGGAAAATTCTGTAGAACAGAAACATGAGTAGTCAGAAAGCAGATTGAGGTAGGAGATTTTTCAAGATGTATGAAAGAAAAATGGCTAATTTCCCTAATCCTTAAAAAACTGTAGAAAGATGGACAAGGGACATAGACAGAAATAACAAAAGAAAACTAAATGGCTAATTATATAGGGAAAGGGCATTCATTTCTAGTGAAATAAATTATTTGAATTATGAACTATCTTTGGGGGAAAGGGGTGGTAAAGCCAATCAGGTTAGCAAAGACTAAAATGTGCAGTGTTTAGGGAGGGTGTGAAAAACCCGATTCTGTTACTGGTGGGGTTGTGAATTATCCAGAAGAAAACTAAAAATAACTGCCAGAATTTTGCTTGTAAATATTTGACCTAGCAATTTATTTTATTTATTAGACTTTCTCATAGAGAATCTTAAAAGCTTGTAAAGATTTATGCACGAAGATATTCATTCATAATATTGATAATAGTGAAAAATTGGCGATGTTTAAAGGAGTTTATATAAGTAGATTATATGCCCTAGCCTGTTTGGCTCAGTGGATAGAGCGTTGGCCTTAGGACTGAAGGGTCCCAGGTTTGATTCCGGTCAAGGGCATGTACCTCAGTTGACTGAAGGGTCCCAGGTTTGATTCCGGTCAAGGGCATGTACCTCAGTTGCAGGCACGTGGTTGGGCTGGTGCAGGAGGCAATCAATCTATGTGTTTATTTCATATCGATATTTCTTCTGTCTTTTCCTCTCCCACTCTCTCTCTAAAAAATCCACAGAAAAATATCCTCAGGTGAGGTGTTTTTTTTTAAGTAAAATATATGAGGTCTATTGTAAGAAATTGTGTGTATCTGTTCAAGAATGAGATACTTATATGTTCTTGACATGGAAAAACATACATACAGAATATTTTATGTGATAAACCCAACTTGAAAGTACATATAATATGATTCCTTCCCCCTACTTAAAAAAATAAAATCCTCACAGAGGATATGCTTATTGACTTTAGAAGGAAGAGAAGAGTAGGGGGGAAATATGTGCCCTGATCAGGAATGGGACCCACAACCTTTTGGCATATGTGGTGACGCTCCAACCAACTGAGCCACACTAACCAGGGCTCGTTTTTGAGTCAAGTCTGGTTTGAATATAATGACTATCTGTTAATCTTTCCATTTGTTGGAAACCATATTGATAAAGCACAGACTTATGGAATGAATTTTTTTAAATTTATTTTTATTATATATATTTTTATTGATTTCAGAGAGGAAGGGAGAGGGAGAGAGAAGATAGAACATCAGTGATGAGAGAGAATCATTTATTGACTGCCTCCTGCATGCCCCCACTGGGGACGGAGCCTGCAACCTGGGCATGTGCCCTTGACTGGAATCGAACCTGGGACCCTTCAGTCCACAGGCCAACGGCTCTATCCACTGAGCCAAACTGGCTAGGGCTGGAATGAATTTTTTATCTATTTCCATGAGTAGTGGGATGGAGAATGCAGAGAATGGATGAGTGTGCTAATGAGCAGTTGAAATGCTGACCTAGCCACATTCCTTGATACCATCTGCTGTTTAGCTTTGTTAACACCATTTAGTTTTAATTTCCTTCATCAAGGATACCATGACTCATGAACTGTTTGGTACAGTAGGAATTATCTTCTGTTTATTATTCTTGCTGTCAACTGTGTATTTGTTTTAATTGTGTGTGTGTGTGTGTGTGTGTGTGTGTGTGTTAACAAAGCTCAAGAGAATCAACCAGCTTTTAGATCTGAACAAAGTTGTTTGTCATCCCAGTTTGTTCTAGTGCAAAGTGCCGTGGCATTTTTATGACATCTGAAAGGAGGACTTTCATAACTTCTAAAAGCAAGATTTTATTTTCCTCTGTCAGTTCTTTTTTTTGCATGGTTTGATGAATCTTGTCAGTTTGTCATATCCTTCAGGTTACGGGACCATGAATCACCACATTGCCTTAGTGAAATAGAAATAAATACCACATTAGTTTCTCTTTTTTATATACAAGGAAATGGAAGCGTAAAACAAATAAGTAATATGTCCAAGCTACAGAACATATCATTAGATTTTTTAATATTGTGGCAGATTTTTTGTTATAAGTTGCAGGCACACAATAAGCCTGATAAGTTAATTGATGAGTGTCTGGGTTTGTCTACATTCACATTGGTTTCTGAGTTTTCTAGCACTGTTCCATGCACTAACCACCTTACTGGCCATTGCAGTGCTACCAATAGAACTTCTGCCATAGTGTTCTGTTTCTACACTTTCAAGTGTAGAAAGCCAACCATTTGGGCTATTGAAATGGGATTAGTATAACAGGAACTGAATTTTTAAAAAATATGTTTTTATTGCTTTGAGAGAGAGAGAGAGAGAGAAATCAACATGAGAGTGAACCATTGGTTTCAGGTACCCCCAGCCCCCATGGGTCCCAACTGGGGACCGAGCCCGCAACCTGGATATGTGCCCTGACTGGGAACCAAACCGTGACCTCCTGGTTCATGAGTTTATGCTCAACCACTGAGCCACACCAGCTGGGCTTGATTTGCATTTTTCTTTAATATATTATGTACTAGAGGCCCGGTGCATGAAAATTCATGCATTGGAGGAGGGTCCCTCAGCCTGGTCTGCCCCCTCTCAGAGTCCGGGAGCCCTCAGGGGCGGGAGGCGACCTGGCGATCAGGGGAAGGCGATGCCCACATCACACTTCTGCTGCTGCCACTGCCGGCAGCGCAAGCCTCGGCCAGCCCTGGTTACCTGAATTGCAGTCTGGCCCTGGGTGGCTGGGGAGCTGAGGGAACTGGGGGTCTCTGGAGGCAGGCATGTGGAGTGGCCGGGCCTTCCTGGGGGCGGGCCCAGCCTTGCTGCGCCTGCGTGGCAGTCAATTAGCATATTCCCTCCTTATTGGCTGTGGGCGCTGCCGTCTTTGAGCACGGTGCAGTCAACTAGCATAGTCCCTCATTGGCTGTGGGTGCTGCCATCTTTGAGAGCAGGGCAGTCCGTTAGCATATTCCCTCCTTTTTGGTTGTGGGTGCTGCCATCTTTGAGGGCGGGGCAGTCAATTAGCATATTCCCTCCTTATTGGCGCCATCTTTGCGATGGCATGAGGGTCAATGAGCATATTCCCTCTTTATTAGATAGGATTGTACATTTCCAGTGGCTATTAAATGGTCATAATTAGACCATTTGGGTATGTTTCAAACATGGTGTTATAGAACTAGTGTTTTAGAGAGACTAGTAAGGAAGAGATTTTTAGGGCTGTTATTCTGTTAAATTGTTTTCATTTAGGCTAGAAATTCAGGAGACAGGCAAAAGCCTGTCCTTAGACTGTACAACCATGTTGCTGTAGCACCATTGTTTCCTTGAAAATAGCGAGCCACTGTTAACTCAATTGAAAATCAGTTGCACAATGTTAGTCATGCGATTCTAAAATCAAATCCTTATTAAGCAACAAGCCACATTTCAGGTGTTCAGTAGCCACGTGTGACTGGTGTTTACCATATTGAGCAGCACAGATCTAGAAGATCCGAATGACACTGTTAGACACCTGCGGCTAGTTGATCTTATAGAGCACTGTAGCCAGCAGCTGGAGAATACACGTTCTTTCAAGGGCACGTGGAACTTTCACTGAGGCAAACCAAATGCAAGGCAGTCTCAAATCAAAAGATTGAAATCTCACAGTATATTCTATACCCACATCAGAATTAAGAAAATAACAACAGTAAGTTACCTAAGAAAGCCCTTATATCTGGAAATTAAACAATATACCTGTAAATAACTTGTGAATCAAAGGAATCTTATGGGAAATTAGAAATTTCAAACTAAATACACTTCATCAACATTTTTGGTGTAGCTAAAACCATACTTAGGGGGGAATTTATAACTTTATATGGTTATATAAAAAGAAGGGGGCATAAAATCAATGATTTGAGTTTTTACCATAAGCTGCAAAAAAGGGGCAAACCCAAATAGGTAACAGTAAGAAAATAAGTATGAGAGTAGAAGACTGACAGAAGACTCACTGCAATATGATATCCCTTCCTTTTGGTAACTTTTTACTAAGTAATTTTTTAGTCTCCAATGACTAGCAATAAAATAAGTGAGAGAAAAATTGTACTTTAAAAATATAAGGAACAAATTGATAAGTGAGAGCAGGATTAAATTAAGCTTAATAATTAAATTTTTATTTTTTTGTTTATCTTCACCCAAGGATATTTTCTCCATTGATTTTCAGGAAAGGGAAAGACAGAGAAATATTGATGTGAGAGAAACATATCGATTGGTTGCCTCCTGCATGAGCCCGGCCCAGGGCCTGGGCCAGGGATGGGCCTGCATCCGGATGACCTCCCAGACAAAGCCAGGGCTGCAGCCATGGGATTGAGGCAGCCGCCGTGACTGCAAAGGCCTACTCTTGCATGAATTTTGTGTATCAGGCCTCTAGTTTTTATAATAGAAGCCTCAGGTTTTTTTCAAAATTCACATTAGTGCTCTAATGTGCCTGTTTGGGAATAATTTAACCTAGGGGTGGAAACTTATAGACATTTTATAAACCCATGACAGAATTTTGAAGCTGAGAGTTTGAATTTAACTTTAAAATAACCAAGTGGTGAGCAGTCACATGCATCCCATTGAGAAGTTGTGTATAGTACTTACTGTCAGTGACATTTCCAAGTGAGTCTGCAGAAATGATTGGCTTCCCAAGAGTTCATATAATCTGATTGAACTGAAAAAAAAAGAATATTTTAATAAAACAATTTTTTTTCTTACAGGTTTATAGACAAGAAGGAACGGTTAAGCCAACTTAAGAGCAAACAGGAAGAATTTCAAAAAAAGTGAGTCTTCATTTGCCTTTTTAATTAGTGGAGGTTATGTGGTTTAATTCAGTGCTGTGATATGCAGATATATGGATTGCTAAATTACTAAATTTAGGATAGAATCTGAAAGTACAGAAGAGCAGTGCATCTTGGAGAAGCAAAATAGGAGAGTTATCAAGTTTCTAGAAAATATTGGGATCAGCCCTGGTGCCTGTGCATAGTAGGCACTAGCGATGGGATGGATGAATTAACCCCCCACCTGATCATTGGTATGTGGCAGACGGGTCCAGGACAGTAGGCATGTTAGACTTAAGTTAGTGATGGTGGCTACTATAGGATGTTACTGCTTCCATTTAACTTTCTTCTCTATCAGTGTTTTTGCAAAGTGTGGTCTGCAGATCATCTATATCAGAATTCATTAACTGAGGTAATGGTTAAAAATGCAGATTCTTAAAATCCTATCCTCAGGTGTTCTGATTCAGTAGGTCTGAGGGGAGGCCTGGGAATGTGAGTTTTTATTGAGCACTGCTGGCGCATCTCTCACACTCTGGATTTGAGAATTTTCCTATAAAGTCTCCTATTCCAAACGGACCCAGTCACTGTTCTGCAGACACACCCCTGGTCAGATAAACACATTCATAAGTGGATTAAATAGCCTGAGATGCCTCACATTAGAGCAGTGGTTCTCAACCTTCTGGCCCTTTAAATACAGTTCCTCATGTTGTGACCCAACCATAAAATTATTTTCGTTGCTACTTCATAACTGTAATGTTGCTACTGCTATGAATCGTAATGTAAATATCTGATATGCAGGATGGTCTTAGGCAACCCCTGTGAAAGGATCGTTCAACCGCCAAAGGGGTCGCGACCCACAAGTTGAGAACCGCTGCATTAGCGAAACCTGCTTGGATTAATTTAACTTGGTTATTTCTCTCATTTATTCAACCATAGAAACTATTTATTTATATTTAAATTCTTCCCTGACACCATGCTTATTTTTTTTTAAGAAAGAGAGAAAGGGACACATGGAAAGGGAAGGAACAATGACCAGTTGCCTTCCTGCACACACGAGGACTGGGGTTCAAAGCCTTTCAGTGTACAGGACGGTGCTCCAGCCAGCGGAGCCGCACTGGCCAGGGCAGAAACTTCTATTTTTATAGAACACTTCACTCCATAAAACAGATATTCTCAGATACTGGCTTGTGCCTTTTCTTTCTGTAATGATCTTAGCATTTTTAGTCATGAGTTCTCTTGTAACTATCAGTAATTATGGTTGACGGGAATTATTAGTTATGACTGAGGACAAAGGCTCTGGCTGTTCTGGAAGTTTATGATGAACGTCTACAGAAAGGCTCCAGACTGTGTTAGAGGTGCAAAAAGAAGAAGGTGAGAAAAAATTGCAGAGAACGAATTTGGAAAACACTTTACTTCAGTCCCATTTTGCTATTTCAAGCCATTTATAAGAAGTTGTATTTAAAAGTTGTTGATTTTACATTTTTAAAAAAATATATATTTTATTGATTCTTTACAGAGAGGAAGGGAGAGAGATAGAGAGTTAGAAACATCAATGAGAGAGAAACATCGATCAGCTGCCTCCTGCACACTCCCTACTGGAGATGTGTCCGCAACCAAGATACATGCCCTTGACCGGAATCGAACCTGGGACCCTTGAGTCTGCAGGCTGACTCTCTACCACTGAGCCAAACCGGTTAGGGCTGATTTTACATTTTTGAGCTTTATAAAATTTAATTTTTAAGGGCTTATTCTGTATCTCTCTTCTCCATACAGAGTGTTAAAAGCTATGGAAGGAAAATGGATAACAGATCAGTTGGTAAGCTGTAAGAACTATTTAAATAATATTCTTTGTACTTGAGGTTACATGTTTTTAAGTTGGTGGTGCTTCAAAAATCATTGTGAGTTTAAATTTGTTTTTGTTCATTTTTGGAAGTCCTCTCTTTGAATATATTTGTAGTGTGGCTTCTCAGATATTTTGGGGGGGACCAAAACCAGGGTGTTGACAGTTCATTAGGGAGCTGTTGTAAAGGTTATGAAGTCTGGTAGTGACATAGAAATATAAGAACAATGGGCTATCCTTTTGGAGAAAACGTACCCATCATAAACATACACAGTTTAAATAGAGTAATGATTAAATGTGAAAAGTAAACTCATAAAAATGTGAAAAGAAAATAGGGGAAAGTTTTTATGTAATTTAGGAGTGAGGACCTTGATAGGCCATAAAAGAAAACATTTTATGTTTGTTTTGTTAATCCTCAGGGCATAAACAGAACTTTCTGTGATGATGCAAATGTTCTATATCTACACAGACCAATATGGATGGTAGCCATTAGCCACATGTGTTGAGCATTGGTTGAGCATAAGACATATGGGTAGTGTAAGAAACTGAATTTTTAAAAATATATTTTTATTGATTTTAGAGAGAGGAATTAAGAGGGAGAGAGATAGAAACATCAGTAATGAGAAAGAATCATTGATCAGCTGCCTCCTTCAAGCTCGCTCCTGGGGATTGAACCCACGTGCCCTGACTGGGAATCAAACCCTGTCCTCCTAGTTCATGTGGCTCAATCACTGAGCCACCCCGGCCAGGCTGAATTTTGTTATTTTATGTAATTTTAATTGACTTTTAAATAACCACATGTGGCCAGTGGCTATATATTGAACAGAGCATGTTAAGAGAATATCCTGCAAAATATTTTTCTGTGAATTTCTCTTTAATTTTCTAACAGCTTCTCCATTGAGCCATAATAACACATTTTTTTTTCTTTTTGGTAATCTGACATAGTTATAGAAGCTATAGTACATAACAGTTTTCATTATATTTTCTAAGATATACCTGAAAAATCGGTGGTGATACTGGGTAGATAATCATATTAATTATGAGACCATTTCTGATATTTATTGCATACTTTTTAAGAGATGGAAAATAATGTCCTGCAAGATGAGGATTGAACAGCTGAAACAAACAATATGCAAAGGAAATGAAGAAATGAAGAAAAGTAAGTAATTGGAGCCCCTCCCTCCAGCCCTAATAAAGAGCTCATGTGGAATTTCATGGGATTAATAGATTAGAGAGGCAGAGAAAGAGAGAGGAGTAGGGGTAACAGCATCCTGGAAAAGTTACTGCTCACCTTCCTCTCCTTATGAAACGTTTGTGAAGGGACTCTTATGTAAAAACCTTTAAATAACCTGCTACCTTTCTCACTTTAAAAAAGTTAAGGAACATATGTTTCCCATTTGCCTTAGCTATAGAGGAGACTCCAAGTCTAAGTTGGAATCCATTTATAATTATTAGTTCCTACCAGAGGCATAGAATATTTTTTTTCTCCATTAGTGTATTTTATACATATTTTAATCTGTATTAATTTTACATTATACTTTTACTGATACTCTATCAATATGTGGTTATCAAAATTTAAGAGAGTTCTCTTAGAAATCCTACATCCTTGGAAATACTCTGTATATTTCTGAAGGTCAGTGTTTAAAGTTTAGAATGAGTCACCATCAGACCTTGTGAATCCCTCTCCTGTTCATTGCTTTCAGAAGCAATATCTTGTGAAGGGTTAATATCTTGATAGTGGAGTTAAAGTTTCCTTTGAAGACATTTGTCCTCATACAGTTCTGTGGAGTTTCACAGGATTAACAAGAGAGAAGCAGGGCAGCATGATGAAGGGGCACCCAGGACTGCAGGTAGTCAATTACTCACTGGGTTTGGCACACATCCTCCAAAGCCTCTGGTACAGCAGCAGTGTAGGGACTTGTCATTTAACCTTGAACTTGGTGTACCTCTTTCCTCACGCTTCCGTGATGTTCACCCCAGGGATTGGCTACCAGGTATCTGAGAACCGCCTCAAATTGCTGAATTTACTGACCTTGTGCAGTTCTCTGGTGATCAAGTTTAAAACTTTGATCAGCTCTAATAGATTCCTCGCACCAAAATACAAAAGCAGCAACCACAGAGAATAAAATGAATGGTTCTAAAGCAGTAAACTTAAAACAGTGGTTTCCATCCCTGGCAGAGAGATCTGGGAACCTTTTTAAAACCTAGAGAGAGAATTTTGGGACCCACCCTGGATTTAGGAAATACAATCTCATGCATGGGGACTGGGTCAGTGGTTCTGAAACTGTCTGTAGTAAAAGACCAGTAGTTTCTCTTTGATTTCCAATCCTTCACAAACTGATACCAATACTTTCATAAAGTATAATAAAATAAATTACTAGAAAGATGGTCATACGCTTGAATTTTATGGCAATGTCAAATTGCCATGTCAAAGTAGACATTTTCTAAACTTAGTCTGTATTTCTGCACATCTCTTGTCTGATTGGGAAAAGTTTGCAGACCGACCCGGATACATACGTAGGCCACACTTTGAGTCCACTGCTCTGGGTGGTTCTGATGGTCTGCCGGGGTCCCGAACCCTGCTCTTTAGAACATAATGCAGGCTAGTTGCCATGCTCACAACCTAAGGGAGTTCTTAGATTCCAGGACCTATTTGTAGAGATAATTGTTGAGTTTGATTTATTTTAGATTCTGAAGGCCTTCTCAAAACCAAGGAAAAGAATCAGAAGCTTTATACTCGAGCACAGCGGCATCAAGAGAAAAAGGAGAAGATCCAGAGGCATAACCGCAAACTGGGGGACCTAGTAGAAAAAAAGACCATCGACTTAAAAAGTCATTACGAGCGTCTGGCAGATCTTCGGCGGTCTCATATATTAGAGCTCACCTCTGTCATCTTCCCAATTGAGGAAGTGAAGACTGGTGCGAGGTACAGTAAGCAAGTCTTTTGACTCTACATCAGGTCCCAAAATCAAGTATTTTTTAAGTGTGTCAGCACCTCATTTATTTGACCTCATTCTGGGCCATTGGCTTTCCTGGTAATTAAATTGAATGACGTCTTATCTGCTTCAGCAAACACTGCACATTGCATGAAGTTGGGGAGGCAGCCAAGGTAAAGGGCGGTGGCCCTCGGAGGAGCTTGTGTACACTTACAGCTTCCCGATGAGGTGCTGACTCACCCTGATCAAAAAACCATCTGATGGCCGATGTCAGCTGCAATCCCAATCGGGTTGTTTATTAGTTATATGCTGTGAGGCAGGTTCTTAAACCTCAAAGTCAGGGATAATAGATGCCGACTTCACATAGGATTGGGAGCTAAAGTGGAAGAAAGCACCTGGTGCTTGGGGTTTCTTCCATGGTGACAGCCTTTTACTGCTGACTAGCTGTTAAGTGCCGGGTATCTTCAGTCTACTCTTAGCAGCAGTACAGGGATAACCTGTTGAGTCAAAAGACAACTAGTCAGGCCAAAGCGGGTAAAAAAGCTGACAAAACAGAAACATTATGCCACATTAAATTGTCGTGGGCCGGGTCCTGCCAGGGGAACATGAAAGAGGCCACAGATTCCTTTTGGAGAGAGCTTTGGACTCAATGAGTAGGCACATGAGCAAAGCTCACCCTCCCGAGTTAACAAAATTTGTGGACGAGGTTATCCTTGAAATTAACTGGTGGCAGACATGTTCAAGGAATATTGTGGGGATTGGATTCTTTTATGAATCTTATGGTAGATGAATGTGTGCAGATGGCAGCAACAATATTGGAATGGAGACTCACAATTGCATACAAAGTTGCAGAAGAGAAAACTTTCTCCTTTCTATCTGTGCTGTTTAAATTTTTCTGTTAGTATATATTAGTATATACTGTTAATTTTTTTTAAGCTGATGATTTTGAAGTTATCTCTATAATAAGATTTTGTGTTCATTTTTTTTTAAACAATTCTATTATGTTTTTTAATCCTCACCCAGGGATATTTTTCCATTGATTTTTAGGGAGAGTGGAAAAGAGAGAGGGAAAGACAGAGAGAAACATCGATGTCAGAGAAACATATCGATTAGTTGCCTCCTGCATAAGCCCTGACGAGGGCCCAGGCCAGGGAGGAGCCTGCAACTGAGGTACGTGCCCTTGACCGGAATCGAACCCGGGACCCTTCGGTCCACAGGCTGACGCTCTGTCCACTGAGCCAAACCAGCTAGGGCTCATGTCATTCTTATTTCTCAAACTTCCTTGAGTGGGAGAAGGAGGAAGTAGCATTACAGCTTGGAGCTGGCCGAGTCCCCCAGCCTTAACCGTGATAGCCGGTAGGAGTTATGCTGTGTGTCTTGTGGCTGAAGGAAAAAGGATCGAGAACCACTGGCCAAGAGAACAGAATCTAAACTTAGTGCAGTGCAAAAGGCCCTTCCCAGTCTCCCATTTCCTACCCACCTTTCCAATACCGTCTCCTGGCACTTCCTTTGTGTATACACAGCCCGACTGATACTGATCATCTCTGCTCCCAGACACACCGTGTCCTTCCCCTCCTGTGCATTGGTGCCTGCTGTGACTTCTCATTCCCATCATGCTTCAGACCAGCAGATCTCCAAGTGTGGTCTGTGGGCTCTGTGAGTCCCTGCAACCCTTTCAAGGGGTCCATGCAGTCAAAACTGTTTTTATATAATAATATTAACCCTTTATTTTCCTTTTTCACTCTGTTGACATTTGCACTGGTGGCTCAGAAGCCATGGTGGGTAAAACCTCTGGTGCCACAACACATTTCAAGGCAGTGACAGCAAGCTGCAGTAATAGTCATTGTATTCTGCCATGTACTTGCAGTATTAAAACAAAAACCAGTTTTGCAGCGACAGTGTTCTTGATGAAGCAATAGGAAATATTTTTATTTAAATTTTATTGGCTTGCCCTGCAAACACACCTTTTAAAGATAGTATATGATGAAATGGGAAGTGTGCAGAAGCTGCTTTTGCTGCAGACCGAAGTGCCATGGTTGGCTCAAGGAAAAGCACTTGAATGAATTGCAAGCAGTAGTTGCTTTTTTCATGGGACACTATTTTACTTGAAAGAACAATTGAAGGGCCGAAACCGGTTTGGCTCAGTGGATAGAGCGTCGGCCTGCGGACTGAAGGGTCCTGGGTTCAATTCCGGTCAAGGGCATGTACCTTGGTTGCAGGCATATCCCCAGTGGGAGATGTGCAGGAGGCAGCTGATCGATGTTTCTCTCTCATCGATGTTTCTAACTCTCTATCTCTCTCCCTTCCTCTCTGTAAAAAATCAATAAAATATATTTTAAAAAAAAAAGAAAGAACAATTGAAGGACTTGGGTATTACAGAAGTTTTTAAAAACTGTTGATCAGTGCTGTATTGTGTTGACTCTTTACTAATGTACTTGTTTGAAAAATACAGATTTTTTTCATAAGGATATACTATGTAATAAGTTTATTATTTTTGAATGAATTAATAATTTTAAATGTTCTCGGATTTCTTATATAGCAAATCTCAATAGACCTAACCCCCCCACACACAAAAGCTCTTTGAGGTCCTCAGAAAATTTTAAGCATATAAAGAGAGATTGCTACCAAATCGTTGAAGAACCTGATATTTGAGGCCCTTGCTCCTGGTGCCCCCTTACACCCATGTGGACTTCGGTGCTACAGCTGGTTTGATCTTCATCTCTGATAGAATCACTTATCTCTGCATGTTCCACGTCACTTCCTGTGCTCATGTGCTTCTTCCCAGTGTTGTGTATATCTGGCAAGTATATTGCCTGCTCTTTAAAACCCAGTCCCTTGAAACCCATATGCATCTTCTGATTTTTAGAGATCCCGCGGATGTGTCTTCAGAGAGTGACAGTGCCATGACCTCCAGCACCGTGAGCAAGCTTGCTGAAGCCCGGAGGACGACCTACCACTCAGGGAGATGGGTCTGTGACGACCACAATGGGGACACCAGCATCAGCATCACAGGGCCTTGGATGAGCCTCCCCAACAACGGGGACTATTCTGCCTACTACAACTGGGTGGAAGAGAAGAAAACCACGCAGGGGCCTGGTGAGAAGCAAGACAGTGTTTGGAAACGTTTATACACATGAATTTTGTTCGTTTGTTTTGTTGTTGAGGGATTACGAATTTATTCGATCATCCACACACCAGGTGGCTGAGCCTGGATGGCTCCAGCCAACATGTATATTTTTAATTGAGGTAAAATTTATATAACAGAATGAACAGTTATGAACAATTAAGTGGCATTTAGTACATGTACAGTGTTATAAAACCATCACCTCTGTCTAGTTCCAGAACATTTCATCACCCCACATAGAAGCTCCAGGGCATGAAGCAGCCACTCCCCAGCGCCCTTCTGAGCCGAGCCCTGGCCATCACTAATCTGCACCCTGTTTCTGTAGTTGTGTCTATTCTGGGCATTTCATACAAATGGGATCATACAAAACATGGCCTTTCGTGTTTGGCTTCTTTTACTTAGCATGTTTTCAGAGTTCCTTCACATTGTTGCATGTATCATTCTTTTTATGATTGAATGACATTCCATTGTATGGATATACCACAGGTTTCTCCATCTGTGGATGTGCTGGAAACATGTATTTCAGATTTTTCTCCTCTTGGGGGTCGATACTGCTTTATCTATATAAAAAGACCTCACTATTTAAAGAAGCGTAGTTAGCCTGAGTCCCATCCCATTTTGATAGTTTTTAACTTTGGAAAGAGCTTGTTTCGCAGTCCTAACTGGAGACTGAATACCACACTAGAGAAACCCTCTAACACCCCTGTAGCTTTTCTCTGGTGGAGAATTGTTCGTTTAGTCATCCAGCACATACTTAGTGAGATGTGCTTTAGTCATGTACTGGTGACACACAGGTGGTGTCACACAGACAGGTGTGCCTCCCTTCCTGTGGGGAGGACAGGAGCAAGCAGTCATCAAAAGCATTGTACGCTGAGTGCGTGCTGTGGGTGGGGACTTCAGTTTCATTTATGCTGGGCCTGTCTAGGCCCACTTACTTAGGTTTCACTCAGTGAAAATCATAGCAATGAAACATGGACCTTTTATTAGGAAGGAGTAAAACGTTACCATAAATGTAATGATAAATTAGAAATCATAAAATGTAGGTTCATTCGTATTTTTTGCTGAAATTAAGGTTGTTCTGTGTGTGGTGGTTGTTTTTACACTTTAGACATGGAGCATAACAACCCTGCTTACACCATCAGCGCTGCGCTGTGCTATGCGACTCAGCTGGCCAACATCTTGTCTCATATACTCGACATAAATCTCCCCAAAAAGCTGTGCAACAGGCAAGTAACTGAGGGCAGTGATGTCTTCTTCGTCGTGGTTCTCTTATGCTGTTTGTGTTCTCATTTGTTCTAATGAATCCAAAATCAAGAATCGAAGTGTTATTCAGACAGAAATGACCATAGATACTGAGATTAATTCCATAAGCCTCATGTGGTGCAAAGTGGTGTTATCTTACAATTGCATGTGAAGTGTTTGAGAAGACCACAGAGAATTCTCCCACTTGCAAAAAGAACTGAAGGAAAACCCAGGATATTCAGAGGGTGTGCTCATGTGCAAGAACTGGGTAAACACTTGGCAAATTTTGTTTTTTGTTTTTAAAATGATTTTAGAGAGAAAACATCAATTTGTTGTTTCACTTGATTTATAAATTCATTGGGATCAAGTCAGCATTTGTCTTTTATTTGTCTTTCAAAAGTACAAATACAAAGACAAATACTCATTTGTGGCGTATTGGGACACACTCTAACCACTGAGCTACCCAGCTGCAGCTGTTTGATTTTTTTATAACAAAAACATGTAGTTTAAAATTAAAAAAAAAATGTAAAGGTTTACAGTCTACCCAAATCCTACTAATACTTTCCTACCAACCTTTAGTTTTCCTTGCATTTCAAGCAAATATAAATATGGTTACCATCTTTTAAACACAAAAGGTATCATGCTGTACCAAGGTGTTTTAAACACCTTGCTTTTTAAGTTTTTATTTAACAAATATTTATTGAGTGTCTGCTATGTGCCAGGCACTGTTCTAGGTACTAACAAGGTATATTGGTGATGAAAGCATAATCCCTACCCCTTTGGCCCTTAACTTTAATGAAGGGACAAATGAACAGTATGTCAGATGGTGACGTGTGCTGTGGAGACGTTAAAGCAGGGTGAGAGAGGGGATGTGGAGGCAGGGAAGGGCTTGCAGTGTTTGAATGAGCAGGTGTGTGATCATGTGTGAACCTGAGGGAGGACGCGAGCAAGCCAGGTGGGCCCTGGGGAAAGAGGCTGTGAGCAGAGGCAGGCCTGCAAAGCCCTGGGGAGAGAGCTGCAAGGAATACAAAGGAGACCAAGTGCATCAGAAAGTAGGAGTGCAAATCATGTGGGGCCTGTCGGGCCTTCAGCTCTCATCCTGCATAAAGTGGGCAACTGCAGAGTTTTCCTTTGTATACGTGTCCCAGGATCTCACCGGTCCTCTGTTGACACTTGTGGATCATCTTACACATTCATTTTTCACTAGTTTGCAAGTATTTGTGTAGAGTAAGTTTTCAGAAGTGGAATTGCTTAGTCAAAGGATCTATGTATTGTAATTGTTACAGATTCAGTGAAATTGTTCATGAGGGGGAATAGTTCATTCCTAGAAAGTTTCTAAGTACATTTAAGAAGCAAAGGCCTCAGGGTAAGTTTTATACTGAACTGCAGTGTAAAGTACACTCTTTAAAATGAACGTTGTAACATAGAATTTCCTCCAAAAAATACAACTTTACAAATTATGTTTGTTTTACAGTGAATTTTGTGGGGAAAATCTCAGCAGACAGAAATTTACTCGAGCAGTAAAGAAACTGAATGCAAATATTCTTTACTTGTGCTTTTCTCAGGTATGGAAAATGTGCTGTGAACTAATTTTTAATTTCTTAACATGGTTGAAAATAGTAATCAATTTTTTGTTTTTTTCTAGCATGTAAATTTAGACCAATTACAACCACTGCATACCCTCAGGAATCTAATGTACCTGGTTAGCCCGAATTCTGAACACCTAGGCAGGTAAGAAGGGTGTCTGTTGCTTTTCTCTGAGTGGTACCGTTGTGACGACTTTTAAGTGGAGTTGTATGTGTTGGCAGTGTACAGGGGCCTGTTCCTCAGCCCCAAATCTCCAAACAGGACAAAAATACAGTCCCATATAGAAGGAAGCAATGGCTAATCATATTTGAGCCATTATGGTTCTTAACACAATCATTTCTCAGAGAAATTAATAGCACTTTAACACCTAAAACAGAAGAACCCAAGGGCTCCTGGCCTTTCTTGTGCTGTCCCTGAAGATCAAACGCCGTTTCTTTGAATCCACATCTGTTTCTTCTCTGGCCTGTTGCTTGTGCATCTTCTTTTGTGCCTGCTCATTCCTTCCCATACAGTTCTTCACAATTCTCTGTCACTGAGTCAGTCTGGCCACCATTTGTTGGATAAAGGGTATGAGATGTTTATGGGATGAATCGTTTAAAATCCATTAGCTTAAAAACAGGAGTAACAAAAAAGACCAACCAGGACTGGTCTAAGGGGTCTTTTCAGTTTCTCAGCCCAGAAAAAGCACGGCATTCATGAGGCTTATCTTTGGTCACATCCAAAAGTCCCTTCTCTGGGTGCTGATCTTTTCCCCTTGTTCTTAGAGGTCTGTCCACTCATTTCTGCAGATAGGGCTTGGCTATTGTATTTGTAATTTTGAAAGACAAATAAAAGGTGGGAAAATTCTTGTGGGGTCTCTTCCCATCATTCATTTGCTTTGACACAAACCAGGGTTCAAGGGGAGTCCCCTCCACTGGCCAGGATGCCTGGTTTCCTTCACATTGCAGTGAACTTTCTATGACAGTCTGCCTTCAGCGGTTGTCTGATGTTTCTCCCCTCTTCCCTCCCCTGCCTAAAACAGTAGTTAACTTTGGAAAGAGCTGTGGACTCTCTCCAGGAAACTGCACATGCACCTTGAATGTTTTGCCATTGTATAGGGACCTCAAACCCCGTAGTCCAAATCCCATTCATTCATTTAGGAGCCACAGAAAACCTTTAGACATCCATCCCAATTTTAGTGGTTGATTTCCGTGGGTTTGCTTGCCATCCTCTCTGTACCTTATTTGTAAATGGTTCAATGTTAGGAAATTTATTATTCGTAATAAGGACTAATATTTATTTACACTGGGCTAAACACTTTACATGTCTTAAATCTCTCTTTTTAAAAAAATATGTTTTTACTGATTTTGCAGAGAGAGGAAGGAAGAGAGAGAGAAAGAAAACATCAATGTGAGAGAGAAACATTGATTGGCTGCCTCCTACACGCCCCCTTCCTGGGATCGAGGCTGCAATGTGCCCTCATGGGGAACCAAACCTTTTGGTGCCTGGGATGACACTAACTCAACTGAGCTACACCAGCCAGGGCAGAATTATTATCCTTACTTTCACACGGGGCAACGTGGTAGCAGGCCAGCTAACTCGTGCCCATGGTCACAGAGCCAGTAAAAGTGGTGGAGCCAGGTCCCAACACACCTGGCTGACGACTCCCAAGTACTAGGTACTCATGCTTTTGACCATGCACGTTAACCTTATCACATTAACACACTAAAGAAGAAAGAACGTAGGACTAACCTGATACAGATGCCAGAAAAGCAATGGATAAAATTCAGTTCCCCTTAATAAACTAAACTATCAAATTAAAAAGAGATTATTAATAAAGGATACCTACCATAAGCATGGAGCAAAAGCTATGTTTGATGGCATATTGCTTACATAGACATTTAGGGGCAGTACCCTATCGTCAGGAAGAAAAAGGGTGCCCTGCTTACACTGCTACGTTAACATGGCTCTGGAGGCCCAGCCAAGGCAGGGCATTTTAAACAAGGAATAAGGTGCATTTATATTGGAAAGAAGGAAACTAAGCTGATCTGTTGTAGATGGTATGATTAAACTGGATACCCAAAAGATCTACGAAGCTGTTAGAAATGACACTTGTATGGTGTCTAAATATAAGATCAACATACATTAAAACAGTTGCTTTCTTATGTGCCAACCACAACTTGTTAAAAAAAAGTAATGGGAAAAAAGATTCCTTTTACTTTAGCAACAAACGCTATAAACTTTAGAGAAGTAATCCTTACAAAGTACATGCAAATTTATGTAAAAATTTTGGAACTAAAAAAAATATTCAACCTGTAATTTTTGAATGTCTGCCCAGCACTGTATGAGGTGTGGCACTGAATGCAAGGAGGCCAGGGTGGTGATTTTCTAGGAGGAAGGCTCCCAAAAAGGAAACCTGATCAGTATTTTAACAGATATTTCATGGAACTTTGATAGGCTGATTCTAATGTTTAACTAGAAGCATAGTCTGCAAGGAAATTTTGACAAAGAATAATAAGGGCCGAAACCAGTTTGGCTCAGTGGATAGAGTGTCGGCCTGCGGACTGAAAGGTCCCAGGTTCGATTCCGGTCAAGGGCATGTACCTTGGTTGCGGGCACATCCCTAGTAGGAGATGTGCAGGAGGCAGCTGATTCATGTTTCTCTCTCATAGATGTTTCTAACTCTCTATCTCTCTCCCTTCCTCTCTGTAAGAAATCAATAAAATATATTTAAAAAAAAAAAGAATAATAAGGGATGGTCTTGGCCCCTTTTAAAACATAGTATAAAGGTAATTAAAACAAGACCCTGTTAGCATGCAAATTGGTGGAGCAATTAAAGCAACAGAAGAGAGTCCAGGAACAGACCCTTGTGTATGTGGGAAAATAATATATGATAAGGGTGGCATGCTGAATCGTAATAGCTCAATGGTGGTGGGTCAGTTGGGTATTCATATGAGGAAAATGTTGGATTTATATGACATTCCACATACAAAAATTAATTCCAGATGAAATAAAAGACTTTAATTTTAAAAACTATAACTAGGAGAAAAGAGTGTTTATAATTATAGGGTGGGGAGGGGATTCCCAAGCAAGCCACAAAACCCAAAAACCATGAAGGAAAGGAGTTACATATTTTTCTTTGGAAAAAGTCTAAATGTCTCTGGTAAAAGATACCATAAACAATGTTAAAAGACAAGCAATAGATATATTTTACAGTCTCTATAAGAGACAATGGATTAAAATCCAGACTCCTTAAATCTTTCAGGTCAATAAAAGACAGGCAAACAACCTCATAAAAAAACAGAGAAAGTATTCAAGCAGGCAGTGACACAAAAGAAACGCAAGTAGTCACAATTCAGAGGAAAAACATCTTTAGCCTCAATCAAGAGTAAAGAAATGCAATTCAAAGCAGGTTTCCATTTTTCATCTATCAGGTTAGCAAAAAGGAAAGGACATGATATCGTGTTGGTGGTTGTTTAGGAAAATTGGCAATCTTGTATTAGGGGTGGACTTCCTTGTGGATCTGAGTTTTCTCTGGGCTTGCCCTTGAGTCAGCCCTCCATTTAGAGGGCTCTGTCCTAGAGACGTGCACACACACAGCCAGGCTCTCGTCACATCTGAGCTTTCCTGGTCTGTGAACCAGGAGGTCGGCGCTTCAGAACCCCCTTTCCACACCTCCCTCAGTCAGGCTTAGAGAGACTGGTAATGGAACTTGGGTGGGACTTCCTGTTTCCATGGAGACCAGCTAAACTGAGGATCCCATCCTGACTCCAACATACCTTATTTTTCTTTGAAATAAATGCAAAATTACAGAAAAATTAAAAAGTAGTACAAAGATGCATATACCCTTTACCCAGATTCATCTTTGTTAGTGTTTTACCCCATTTGCTTTGTCATTTGTGCAATCTCTCCCCCTCTCCTCCCTCCTCTCTCTCCATAAATACACACACACAAAATTATTTTTTTTTCTAAACTCTATGGGGATAAGTTACATATGTCATGGCTCTTGACCCCTAAATAGTTCAATGTGTATTTTCTAAAAATGGGAATATTTTCTCTTCTTTTTGGTGGTGGTGGTGGTGGGGGGGGCGCGGGATTTTCTTAACCACAGCCCAGTTATCAACATCAGCACATTTAACATTGAGATAATACTTTAATCTACTGCCCATATGCACGTTTTGTCAGTGCACCAGATAATGTTCTTTATAGCATTTCCCCCTCCAGGATCCAATCTAGAGTTGGGTGGTACATTTAATTGCTATGACTCTAAATTTGGAACATTTTCACAGCTGTCTTTGTCTTTTATGACATTATTTTCATTTTTCAAATAGAACTTTAATTTTGCGATTGGGTGTTTCCTTGCAGATGCAGGCTATGCATTTTAGGCTGGGACACTGCCTAGGTGGGAGTATCTCCAGATAGCACATTTGACCATCTGTCCTTCTTTATGGTGATTTTAATTCACAGTCAGGATGCTTTCTGACTTGGCCGCTGTGTAATTCCTACATGCTTCCTTCCTTGCAGTGTGGGCCCATGCAGTTGTTCTCCTAATCAGAATCCCCCCCCTGGATTTATTATCTATTGACGGGTCTTATCTGAGCCAGTCTTTACTGTGCTGGTGCCTACATTCACACCTTACCATCCAAAGTCTAGAGTTTACTCTTGATGCCGTACATTCTGTAATATTTTTGAAATAAGCTATTGGCAAAAAGAGACTTTTAAAAAGCCAAGAAGATCAATCATTTTGTTGCCTTAGTCGATAAAGATAGCATCCTGTATCATGAGAAAATGAATGCTCTGGCTTCAGGGTCTTGAATAAAAATATGTTATTCAGCTAAACTGAAAATTAGAAGAATTATTTTATAATCTGTATTTCCCAGAGACATTAAGCAGAAAGACTTAATTCTTTCGCTAGTTAGTTCTGTGTGATGTGTGTGTGGCCCAGGCATGCTGGGCAGGTAGTAGATATTATGCTGGAAGTGATGGGAGAAGGGCGTCGAGGAGAGAAATGTCCCAGCCGCCTCTGTAAGGGTCTCTTCTGCTCCTGGTGGTGCTTAGAAATGTAGGCTAGTTGCTGGAACTAAAATTGTTCCTACTGACCACTGTGGGAATCATTCACTAGTTTTTCATGTGAGGTTCTTAATTGAGCACCTGCTCCATGCCAAGTGGACTCTGCACTTTGGAATTCCAAGCAGAGAACGGGTGCAATGGCTCCAGTGAGGGACTCCGCCTGAAGGATGTGCCACTTCCCCCCTGTATCACTCAGGCCTGTCTCCTGGAAAAACCCTTCAAGAGGGGATCTGGAGACAACAGCAGTCTCATGCCAAGAAGGACCCTAAGAGTAGATAAGGCAGCCTCAAGGCTAGCAGAAAGGAGACAGTAATGGTGGAGAGCTGACCTGGACTGTCAAAACTGAACAGAACAGAATCCGAGAGCCTTGTGTTTGGGAAAGGAGGGAGACCAGCTAAGACACTTAAATTGTGAACTTCTTTTTTTTTAACTGATTTTGAGAGAGAAAGGGAGAGGGATAGATAGAAACATTAATGAGAGAGAAACATCATTGATCACTGTCTCCTGCATGCCCCCTATTGGGGATAGAACCTGAAACCCAGGCATGTGCCCTAACTAGAATTTGAACCATGACCTTTTGGTTCATAGGTCAACACTCAACCGCTGGCCTGGCAAATTGTGGACATTTTTAATAGGCAAACACCATGAGAGGGACAGTTCTTCAGCAAGCTGAGGTGGGTGGGGGGCAGGACTGGCTGGTGGTGGTAGCGATAGAAGGAGGACTAGAGCTGGGGGACACGTTGAGGATAGAAAGGGGACTTATTTGGTGGTGTCAGGCAGGGGAGTGAGGGAGGAGGGAGGAATCCCAGCTGGCCGTGTTTTGAGACCTTGTTGACTGGCTCAGATACCGAGATGAGAGTGTGGTTAGTAGCACTTAGTCGGGGAGCTCTGACAGACGGGTGATTGGGATTGGAGCTTGGAGGAGAGGAATCTGGAGGGGAAAAAAAAGTCTTCGGAGTGGACTTGTTTGCCAAGGAAAAGCAAAAAGGGAGAAAATAAGTAAACTGTAAGGAGAACCACAGGAAACAGAAAAGGGGCACTCAGAGCTAAGAAACAAGTTGCAGTGGTTGGTTTATGGGAAAAGTTTCAGGGGAGGAACGAAGGGTGTGGGGAGAACCCCCTCCCAGCTCTGGTTCCCTTCAGCCCCTGCAAAATCACGACTCCGGGGTGGAGGCCGGGGAAGCTTGGCAGTCCCTGGTCTGAGGGGCTTCTTGGAATGTAAATTGTTCACTAGAGACCAATGGGAAACCCTGTGGCACATCTTCCAATGAATGAAAACTGGTAAAACCCTAAAAACAGTGCCTGGAGCAGAAACATTAGCTCTTGCTGCCCCAGCTGGGAAGCAGGGCTGTCTCGTAAGAATGAAGTCTAGTTGGCCCTGGAAGAACAGGTCAGAGGTGCAGGTCTGTGGAGGCGCCTGGAGGCCAATGCTAGGCTTTTGTCATTATACTGTAAAGAATTTGGGACCACAGACTAAAGGGCAGGTTATACTTTCCTAAGGTAGTTCTCATTTCTGTTATTTTTGCTGTCCTCTGTCATTTCTCCCTAAGTAATTACTAGTGAACCTCTTAAATGAACTGAGGCATTAGGTCTTACTTGGGAGCAACGATGGAGAGCTAGGGGCTGCTGAAGCGACTTGGTCCCACCCTATAGCTGGTTGCAGGAAGTCCCCTGGAGAAGATGCAGCCTGGCTTCCCGGAGGCAGGAGTGAAGGGCACTGGAAAGGGACAAGGAGAAGCAGGCCTGGTGGGGATTGTTCCACACAGCGGCCCTGAGGGGCTGTCACAGGGAGTGCGGCCTGAGAAAGAAAGGTTGAGAGATTTGGAGGTGGAGACATTACTAGGCAACTTTGGGCAATAAATAGTTTTACTGAAAGACCTTGCAGGAATATGCACTATTCCAGATGAATATATTTTAAATAATCACATCTCATTTTATGCCATAAACTTGTCCCTAGAAAATTGTGTGATATCTTAAAATGTGTGCGGGAGCCGGCTGTTGACACCAGTCCCAGGAGGCTTTGCTAACATGTACACAGCCATATCATTTAGCCCCTTTGGGTCTTGAGTTTAATAATTGAGGGCTTCCATAGGCAGAGGACATCTTAATTTCCTTTGTATACCATTTGATACTGGTTCCACTAACTAATATACCCGAGTATATACATCATGTGACTGTTTTTGTCAAAACTCTGTCATTGGAATGTAGAGATAGTACAGTTGTTTAAAACAAAATCATACTGTGAACCAGAATGGATGGTCTCACGGGATGGGTTTTTTCTGTCCAGAGTCTTCACAAATAAAGTAGGTAGAATTGAGACGTGTGGTATTATTCATTAGTTGGATGACAGTTATTTAGATAAAGAAAAACTGAATTATAGACCAACAGTGAGTGGACACAGTGCAGACTTAGGGAACGGATGCAATGATAGCTCTGGGTCTCCTACATGCATCAGGTCTTCTGTCACCTGTGTCACGTGTTGTGAGAATGGTGGTGTCTTAGAGACCCTTCACTGTCGGCACACAGGTCGGGACCCTTTGAAGTGCGCGCAGACCTTGAGGAGTCCATGGAATTTGTGGATCCCGGAGTTGCTGGAGAATCAGATGAAAGTAGAGACGAGCACATAAGTGATGAGGAAACCGACTTGGGCACAGATTGGGAGAACTTGCCAAGCCCCCGGTTTTGTGACATCCCTTCTCAGCCCGTGGAGGTCTCGCAGAGCCAGAGCACCCAGGCCTCCCCGCCCATCGCCAGCAGCAGTGCGGGCGGGATGATCTCCTCCGCTGCAGCCTCGGTGACCTCCTGGTTTAAAGCTTACACTGGACACCGTTAACGAGCATGGATCAAAATGTGCCAGATTCGCATCAGGAAAGTAAACTAGTAAACTATGTATTTAGGTAAGATCATGCCTGGAACAAAAAGTTTTTTTAACTGTTTTTTTGATGTTGTTAATCCTCACCCGAGGATATTTTTCCATTGATTTTTAGAGTGGAAGGGAGGGGGAGAGACAGAGAGAAAGAAACATCGATGTGAGAAAGATACATTGATTGGTTGCCTCCTGCATTCACCCAGTCCGGGCCCGGAATCGAGCCTGCATCCCAGGTATGTGCCCTTGACGGGAATCGAACCCGAGACGCTTCAGTCTACAGGCCAAACTGGCTAGGGCTAAACTATTTTTGTTGTTTAAAACAGGGAGATAGGCATTTCTTTGTCAAATGGCCAATGGTGGTGATAGACATACTGAGGATAATAAAAGAGGGGTCAAAGGCCCTTCTACCCAGACTAATGTTGGTGGAAGGAGGACCAGTGCACGAGGCCAGTTCTGTTGAGGCAGAAATTCATCTAGGCTCCCTCTGATCACAGGCCAGAGGACCCAGACCCAGCCGACATGTTGGTCCTCGTGATGCTGAGACTATTCCTGTCACTTTATGTTGTAGAGATTGAATCTCAAGGAACTGATTCTTGATGATTAGGACTTGAAAGATAGAAAACTGTTTAATATGAGTTTGTTTTTATGCGATCATTTTTGTACAGAAAACCAGCAGGCAATTTGAGATACTTGATTTCTTTATAATTTGGTCACGTTTGGTTTTTAGGTCAAGGATTTTGGTTTTGTTTGGAAGGGTGGTGTTTATTTGCGGGGGGGGGGAGTAATTTAAACATTATTTCACTTGTGCTGCTCTGTTGTAGCTCATCAGACATTCCTGTTTTTCTTTCTCCCCACACACCAAAGAAACTAAGCTCTTTTCTTTAGGACCCATATCCATGAACAGAAGAAATTCTAGCTGCAATAATGTCCTAGAGATTGTAAACCTATTTTCTTATATTCTGAGTGGAATTTAGTTCATTCTTACCTAGATTATTGAATTCCTACCATCTACACTATATGCAGTTTGAAATGAAACTTATTTTCTATGAGTGAAAGATTAAGTCATTAAGGTTGTTTGCTAATGAGGTTACTAGTAAAAGCCACTTTTAATTAGGTGGCAGGTTTTTCCAGGGAAAGCTATCCAGCCTGTTTCCTAGAAGTCTTTGTTGCTCTAAGGACACTACCTTCCTCAGAAATGGCGAGGAAATCATAGCTGGTACTCCTGTCTCCTGGGGAAGCTCCAGGGAAGGATGTTTCCTCACCAAGAGACCATTTTCAGCTCGTTTCTTGTCATTCTCTAGTGACAATCTTTTAAGAAAACCGTAGAGAGGCATTATGTACAAATATGTAAGTAGTTTATTTTTAATAACTGCAAAAAAAAATCCTATGTAACTACAAAAAGAAAGCCTATGAAAAATTCCTAACAGGCATTATTACCATATCTTGTTAGTGTGATTAGCATGATAGTACCTCAGATAAATCACTTGGGGGTTTGCCCTGCCCTAGCTTCTTTTCTCGTTGTAATTATTAGAGATGATCTTTGCCTCCAAACCCGAGGTGCTATATAGCTTTTGCTATTGGTATATTTAGTGTTTGGCAGAGTTTGGGGTAGAGTTGCAGAAGGGTTGTTTATTCCTGCCCAGGAGTCCCAAGTTCCCTGAGTATGAATTTGCCACTTTAGGAGGAAACAGGCTCTGTTTTAACTGCTCAGCTTTATGCTGCTGGGCCTGTGTTGTACCGTCCAGGCCTGTGATTCATGGAGTGGTTGACTTGAACAAACACCAAGTGAACTTAACATCCCATGAGGTAAGACTTACCAGGTACTTCCAGCCCTCAAAAAGAGCTTAGTCTCAAGAGTTGAAAGACTGGGATTTGGGGCTTGAGGGTAGAGCTTGACTTCAGCTGAAAGATGCACAATAGTCACGGTTGTTCTCAAATTAGCCTCTTGGAAACCACGAATGTGAGATGAAGCTTAAGAACAGAATCCAGAGATCACAAACTCATAACTAGAGTAATTCAACAAACCGTGCAAGGATATGGGAGATGTAGGGATAGGGTATATTTTGTTGTTGTTTTCAACTAGAGGCACTTTACTTAGGGTTAAAATGATCAAACCCTTTAGTGGTTATGAACACCAACGTACTGGCTTACACTGCTGAGGTATTTTGGTTTTCATTATTTTGCACTGGATCCACCCTGTAAATATTCTTAAGTATACATTTCAACCACTGTTTTTTCTATTCTTTTTGCTGCTCATTAAATTCTTTCATGTAGGTGCCAGAACCATATGTAAACAGCTTTTTAAAAAATTGAAGCTGGTTTTTATTTTTAAACAAAAAGCCATAGACCTTGGTCCTTTATTCCACATTAAAATGATTTGTTGAAACAAAATAATACTAATAAAAATCCAGAGGCACCAATAGGCCACTTAAAATGGTTTGCTAAAGACTTTTTTGTAATGGAGCCTAAGAAAAGTTTTGCACATCTGTAAGTTAAGACAAAAAACATGTCAGCATTGGGTCTAGCAGACAGGATACATTTAAGGATTCGTGTGTTGGTAATTTGGAAAAAAGCATTTGGTGGCATGCTGTTAAAAGAACTACAGTGTCTGGGAATCTCTTCCATGGTGTCATGTTGCAGGAATTTCCCATTGCTCTGCAACTTCCAAATCAGATTGAGTCATACAAATGTTTTCTAAACTTTTATTGTATTATTACAATAAACCTTTTACCAGTATTTTGCTAATATGTATGTCTTTTTCAAACTAATTAATCGAATGAGATCCAGCCCTGGATAATTTTATATAAATTATAGGATAATTTTTTTTAGGATTTTTTTGCCAAGCAAGGAAATATGCTTGCTAATACTTTTATAAAATTATTGATCATGGTGGTATTCATAACGGTCCATCTTTAGGAAGCTGGGAAACAGGTTGCTTACCAGTTACATACTTTCTCTAAAGATGGATTTTTCTTTGGTAGCCGTCACATGCTGTTGTTGCCCTACGGTGACAAGGATGTCTTTTAACAGTCCTCTAGGGAGGTATTAATTTATAGCATAAAAAGGAATAATTTGTAACAATAGGACACTAAAGGGGAGGAGAAAAAGGACTGAACTTGCACAGGTAAATAAAGATAAGATGCAATCAGAAGAAAAAGGACTGTGAAAATTTTTTAACATAAACCTAATGAATCACAAGGGCAAAAAACACACACAACCAGAAACACAGAACAACCAGAAAACTAAAGATAAAATGGCTATATTAGGTTCTCATATCAATAATCACCTTAAATGTAAATAGACAGAACTTACCAATCAAAAGGAAGAGTAGCCGGATGGATTAAAACAGGGGTCCTCAAACTTTTTAAACGGGGCCAGTTCACTGTCCCTCAGATCATTGGAGGGCCGGACTATAGTTTAAAAAAAAACTATGAACAAATTCCTATGCACACAGCGGCGGCAAAAACACCCAGTGGGCCAGATAAATGTTTTCGGTGGGCCGCATGTGGCCCGCAGGCCGTAGTTTGAGGACCCCTGGATTAAAAACTACATGTTGCCTTCAGGAGGCCCATCTCAACTACAAAGACAAACAAAGGCACAATAATTTTGAGAAAGAAAACAGAGTTGGAGGTATACGCTACATGACATCAAACTATATTACAAGGCTATAGTGATCAAAACAGCATGATACTAGCATAAAAACAGACACATATATACATAAAACAAAATAGCCTGTAAACAAATCCATTCCTATATGGTCTATTAATATATTTTAAAAGAGGCAAGAGCATACAATGTGATAAAGACAGTCTATTCAATAAATGGTGTTGGGAAAATGGACAAATACATGCCAAAAAAATGAAACTAAACCTTCTCACGTGATATACAAGAAAAAACTAAAAATGGATTAAAAACTTAAATGTAAGATTCAAAACCATAAAACTCCTAGAAGAAAACATAAGCAGTAAAATCTCTGACATTTCTCTTAGTATTTTTTTCTGATATATGGCCACAGGCAGGGGAAACAAAAGAAAAATTTAAGAATGGGACTACATCAAACTAAAAAGCTTTTTTCACAGCAAGGGAGTTTGCCAATGATACATCCTATAAGGGGTTACTATTCAAAATTTAGAAAGCACTCAAAACCCAAACCCAAATAATCCAATTAAAAAATGGGTGGTGGTGGGGGGGTTAATGGGGGCGATGAGGACACATTTGTAATACCTTTACTAATCCTCCTATATAATAAAAGAGAAAAATGGTAATTGGCGTACGACCGATACCCTTTTCATTGGCTAATCAGCGAGATATGCAAATTAACTGCCAACTCAGATGGCAGTTAACCGCCAAAAAAGATGGCGGCTAATTTGCATATTGCAGGCAGGAATGTACAGTGCCAAGAGCGGGTTGGGGGTGTGAGTGCCAGCAGTCGCCCGAGACCCGATCCTGCCGGCAGACCCAGACACGGGCCTGCAGGGCGACTGCGGCATCCGCTGCACTCACGCCCCCAAACTGGACCGATCCCCCTGGCAGACCAGGACATGGGCCAGCGGGGCGGCTACGGTGTCCGCCCGCACTCACACCCTCAACCCGCGAGATCGGGTTGGGGGCCTGAGTGGCCGGCAGTTGCCCGGGACTGATCCCGCCAGCAGAC